AGAAGATAATTATGATAAATGCATCGCACTGAATGGCGGATTGGTTGAAACAACAAGAATTTGATGAATGTTCATTCGTATCTCTAGCTATAATAGTTATTGTTTTCAAATTGTTTCATTCTTTCCGTGGGTTACTTGATCAGAATATATATGGTTCATTCATTTCTCTCATTTGCCACCTAATCATCAGTGATTACTTTTTATTTATTCCACTTTTCACATCATCATATACTCGAATCAACTTATTATACAAACTAGATTTTTGATTTGGCCACAAAATCATTAATATCGAATATTTTTTCATTAAATTTGGTATACAACCATCTGAGGGGGTGCCAATTCCAATTGTGATTTTAGTTTTATTGTAAAAAATTCGCTAATACGATATCTTGACTTTTTTCTCTAAAAATATACGCAGTAGGCCTTGGATTTTGTAGGAATATAAATATGTTTCGTCCTATAGGACAGTTTTTCGAACTCTACAATTCTTTTATCCCGCTTTCAAGTGGGTCACACTGTATGAATATTCCATCTCCCTGATCAACATCTACAGACAGTATCTATATTCATTTAATTTGAGTTGCTCTTTCAGGAAGATTCATGTCAAATTCGTTATGGGAACCCATGGCATGCATATTTAGCGATGCCATTTTATGTTCGTTTTTGCAATAATGTTTCCTTATCAAAAGAAAAAATATATTTTGGTATGAAAGAATATATAAGTATACAGGGTGATTCAAAAGTAAGCGGCATCCTTTCAGAGGCGTATTCCTTGCATGAAAATAAGGCAAAAAGTTCCTATTGATAAGGATCCGAAAATGCTTCCTAAGGGAGCTACGGCCCTTTGAATAGGACACCTCAAAGACGGTTTTTTCTCTATAACTTTAAAATCCTTCACAACAAATTTTTAAAAATTGGTGTACGGCATAAACATTCGATGGTAAATAGGACTCCGTATTCGAAATAATTTCCAAACGAAATCACAGTAACCTGAATATCCGGAGAAGAAGGGATATTTTTACACTTACCCTCTCCCGCATGTGACGCCCCTGAATGAAATTCTGAAATTTCGAATACGGAGTCCTATTTACCATCGAATGTTTATGCCGTACACCAATTTTTAAAAATTTGTTGTGAAGGATTTTAAAGTTATAGAGAAAAAACCGTCTTTGAGGTGTCCTATTCAAAGGGCCGTAGCTCCCTTAGGAAGCATTTTCGGATCCTTATCAATAGGAACTTTTTGCCTTATTTTCAAGCAAGGAATACGCCTCTGAAAGGATGCCGCTTACTTTTGAATCACCCTGTATGTACATATACTTTCCGAAATGTTGATAGATAGCCCTGATGCACTTTGAGATATGATAATTTGATATCGTTATTTGCTTGTTGACAGTTAGCACTGTATATTGATAGTCAATAGGTAGACACTACAAACACTGAAATATTCAAATCCCCATATGTCTCCTATTGAATGCTGATAAAGTTATATTTTTCAATGTGGAAGAGATATATTTTCCAAAACTCTCTTTTTGTTCTTGGATATGAATTCCCATTATTTTTTCATGTTCATAAAAATATATCTGAGAATTGGGAATATTCCTTTCTAATTACTTTCTTTACTTCATTTTTTATTTCTTCCCAAGTTCAAACTGAGACTCATCAATTTCAAATTGGAATTACACATACATCCAAGTGGGTAAACAAATTCGAAATGGAAATGAATACAATCAAATTGGGAATTTTCATTCTCAAATTCAGAATAAACAGTTTCACATTGCGATGGGTATTACCAAATTCAAGTTGATTAATTGTCAATATTGTGTCAAAATCGAAATCAATCATTAGCAATAAATTCCTCCTCAATATTTGAATTGATATAACCCCTAATAACACAATTATGTCCCATGGATATCCTTAGGACGTCCTGTCGGGACATTCGGGACGTCCATAGGAAGTTCGAATTTCGTATCGTGGACGTCCTTTGGACGTCTGTGGGACGCACAAATGTCCTACTTGAGGACCTACTAGGGACGTCCTTGAGGGATGTCCCTGGGATAACTATTGAATACCTAAATCCTACAGTATTCCTCATCAAGCACTATACAGAGGACATCCTTAGGACATCCATAGGACAACCTATCAGCAACGCTGAGGGATATCAGTTGGATGTCCATAGGATGTCCCAGGGACGTATGAATTATTCTTGAATTTGAATTTTTCTGGGTTCCTCTAGGACCAGATCTTGCATAACTGATTAGGACATCCAGTTGAGTTGATGGTCCGTAGGAGGTCCCCAAAAAGTGTCCCAAGGATGTCCAATATGGACTTACGTGAAGGACATTGACGAGGAGTACTTATAGCCTACGACCAATCATTCGTCGGCGAGGTGTAAGTTAACGTCCTCGCAGGGACAACATATCGAAAGTACCGACTGGGACGTCCATGGGACGTTATTTCTAGGACATTGGAAGAGTACAGTTCATGTACCAATTGGGACATCCGACGGATATCTCTAAGGGACATTCGAAGGATGTACCTAAGGGACATTTCGATTGTTATACGATCCTGGAAATATTAAAAGGGCGTATGTGCAGAGATATTTGAAGGAATGAACCATCAGGGACATTCCATGGTTGTTCAGAAGGGACATTACCTATATATAAGATCTGAAGTCATGCCAGAATATGTACTACTCGGGACATCCGATGATGGATGTCCCTAAAGGAACGTTCAAAATTATATCCCATCAGGGACATGCCAAGGACGTCCTTGCATGGACATTCTACAATATGTACCACGTGGGACGTCTAGGGGATGCTATTCCTAGGACATTAGGACATTCCGTGAACGTCCTTGCTCGGACATTGCATGAGATGTACGGGATGGGACGTTCCAAGGACACTCATTTTTGGTTCGGGACATTCGGACGTGAATTGTACCAAATAGGGACGTCCCTAGGTGGTGAAGATCAAATAATTTCAAAATTTGATTTAGGAATGTATAATTCAGGGTGGGACTACATTAACTATTGCTCAAACTTTTGTGTATGCAATTTAAACTCGGTTATGAAAATCCACACCTATTCACAGAAAAAAAGTGCTTTTATCAATAATAATAATAAATGTTTTTATTGGACAGACATTATATCAGTTGATATATACAGGTTGAACACTTAATAAATGCCTGCCTAATGGCAGGGTTCAAATTGCCTGTGAAGACAGGAATTTTGCTCTTCCACTCAACCAGTTGCTCTTCAACTCAACCATTCCGTATATATCGATCAGACTTATTATTTTAGAGGAAAACAATGCTTTTGTGAGGTTATATTTTCATTTTGACATGCTTCCAGCTAAGAAGTTTCAGTCTATAGGTTTAAATCCTTTGAAAAAAATAATCAATTTGATTCAAAAATTCCTTGATATAGATGATAAAATCCAATAAAGACATATTATTACAACTCTAAGGCTGAAGCATGCAGTCCAACAGGCCAGATAAAAATTATGGTGTGATAAGATAAGACGCATCATCATCAGCTATCAGCAGATGCCATTCGCACAAATGTCTCTCGCCAGTCATGCAGATGGTAGAGCATGCTGCTATTCTGCGGAAAATCTCAAGGTTGTCAATGAGAAAAGTAAAAATAATTTCTGCATGAAAAATGGAACTACTTTCAACCTTACTAGGCATTAATGACCGTTTTTTCTGTAAAGTATTTTTTTTACCTACTTGAGTAAAAACAAAATTGACGCCTGCCTGCCGCGATCCACTTGTCTCTTCCGTCTATTTACGTTGATACGTCCATGACATCGAACATAAAAACGTCTCTGTTTATGTTCGGTGTCCATGATTTACGTCTGGCTATACTAGAAAATCTTTGAAACATCGAGGTCAAGTAACGTCACTCACAAACCTTACTTCCATCATCCCCACAACACATGAAATTTCTTCCTGAGAAACTACGGGTGAACTGTTATTTAAATTTTTTACACTCAGGTGATTTTTCAAAGAAATACTTTTGCGGAAAAAGGTTGATTTATGCCAAGTTAGGTTGAAAGTTAATTCCTTCACTACAGAATAACGTCCCGTAGTTTTTGATGTCACCGCAACATCATCTAATGACCTTCACAACCGCGATAGGATTCTGATGAAATTCTGAACAAATCAGCGGCAATACTGTAGAGAGGTGTTGGCTTCATTCTGACCGGTGATAAATGTAGCAGTTTAGATGGCAGTTTCATTTTGATAAATAATAAGATTCGATTCTTCCAAGAGAGCTCGATCATTATCTGCCATGCAGTAATCAATTTGCGCCTTCGAAGTGCCCACCTAATGTTTTTTATTTCATCATCTAGAATATTGTCTAAAGTACCGACGTATAGAGTTTCATGTTTGTTCGATGGATATTTTGTGCCTAAGGGTCAAAATAATTGCCATGCGCACTGCATGGATCTATTTCGTGGATCTATTACTATTTGCTGTTAGCTCCAAAATATGATGTTTGATCTGCTTCTGTCTACAGCGAATGATTTGTTCTGCTGTATGAGTCTGTGTCACAGTCTATGTTCTATATTTATATCATAAGTTCTGTGTGAATTTTGCCTCATGGCTGTCAAAAATGTCTAATTCATGTAATGGTTGTAGTACTCGTCACAGTCCAGATATTTAGCCGTCATTGGATAGTTCAACAAGAATGATATTTGGAATGTCAAACGTCAGACTATTCCAATCTATTACCTTTTGATTCAAATCTGTTACCTTTTTCCAAGGAAATCTGGTACGAAAAAACACGACCTCGGAACAACATTGAAAACACACCATTCGATTCGATACCAGAGGACGCATCGGTCGCAACATTTGCAGTTTTTCCTTTTATTCAAACCACTTGTTTGGTCATTCGGCACCTTCGGCACTAGATGTCGAAAATAGTCAGGCAGCAAACCGTTCCGGAAATATCATATGTTTGACAGTAATGACAGTTTGACAAGGTCTGAGTTTGACTCAATGAGGTTCTAAAAACTCTCAATATCGACACCGGCCATTTTACAATACTCGGTAGTTGGAATAATAAAATTTCAAAATTAAAATTGTAATTAAATGTCAGAACCACAGTCAGCTCTTCTATTAAGAAAACAGCTAGCAGGTAAGTGGGCGTTAAGCTCTTCATATTTTCATTAGAGGTAGGTACATACACAAATTCTAATTAATATGACAGGATTATTTACCCCAAACGTCCTCGAACAACCTCGACTTTTTTTTGGAAACTCTTTGTCTGACTTATCCAAAAATAGTTCCTGCTCACTACTCTCATCCATCAATATTATAGCACTAGAGTCTCCCTGTTTAAACTTCAGTAAATTAGTCATTTGCAATCAAAATCAATATTTGAATGTTCTCTTTCCTAGACACTACCTACCTACACCATACCTTCTATGTCAAATTAGAGCACCCCCAAAATATAAAAAACTGAATTCTCATTGTGGTGAATGCAAGACCACGCCTAAGAAATTACCTATTATTGAAATTTTGCCATATTTATCTAGCAAATCTTTTAGAATATGCTGATTTTCAACATATATCATGATTTGTTTACATTTTTCTTTGGTAACATTTACAGCAAATCAAAGGCAATTTTTTTTATTTCTCTTTTTATATTGGATTCCTATGATATGTTCATATAAATTATTTTCATTTCACATTAGATTTTACTAAAACAGCTATATTTTCCATAAGAAATGGACTGAATAAAATTGAAGTTAGATGATAGGTTAGATGATGATGAAGAATTCCATGAATCAGAGTGAAAGGAATGCTTGAACTCTTGAGATAAATTGATATTTAGTATAAGCTACATCTGTGAGCAGAACATTAATATTTACTTGGTGCAATGATGTGTTCTCTAATTTCAGAACTGAACAAAAACCCTGTTGAGGGGTTTTCTGCAGGCCTTATAGATGATAATGACATTTATAGATGGGAAGTACTTATAATAGGTCCTCCAGATACTTTATAGTAAGTATTCCTTCTTTCTGCATTTCAATGAGGAATCTAGAATAATAATCTATTCATTCCACTGAAAGTTTGTTTGAAAAAATATCCATTCCAATCATATGTAATGACATTTGTAGATTTGATTAGTTACATATGCCTACTCTCAATCAACAAGGAAATATAAAACTGAAATTAACATTATAATTATGAGGAACTGTACACACTCCTGCCACTTATAGAGGCCCTTGAGGGAAATATCTTATGACCATCACAAAGTGTCTTCCTTTCTTTATCAATATATAGGGTGAACTATGAGATTTTGCAAAAACATCTTTTGGACATAACTTTCCAACAGCTGATTTTTTTATGGAAAATTTTTCTTCTAAACTCTAATCAACTGACATTTTTCAAAATCAGGGAAATCCATGAGTTGTGAAGTATTAATTTTCAAATGAATAAATTTTCTCTTACTATCAATCCTAAAATTCATGGGTTGTGTAGAATTAATATTCAAATGAATAAATTTTCTGCCGACTTTTTGTTTTTTCATAAAATTCATTGTTTTTTTCAAACTGCAGTGAAAATGTGAGCAAAATTTGGAATATTTCATCTTTGAAGTTCCTTTGTGACCTTTAAAAATGCCCTGTCACAATTTACAAAATTGATATACAGAATGAACTTTTCCCTATAAACTAAACTATCGAAATTTTTCAAGAACGGTCCTGGATTTTCCCGATTCTGAATAAGTCAGTCGATCAGAGAGTAGTAGTGAAATATTCCATGGAAAAATCAGACAAATCGAAAAAGCTGTTGGAAAGTTATGACCAAAAGATGTTTTTGCCAAATCTCATAATTCAGTCTATATACAGGGTGTGCCTAGACCAGTGGGACAGTTGGATATCTCTTGAACCAATAGGAATTTTCGAAATATTATAATTCCACAGCATATCGCATTATGAGTGCTAACTTCAGGAATGACTATATTTTCTACGAGGGGCACAAGAAAGGCTCACAAAATCGAACATCAATTTTTTCAAATGGAACACCCTGTATTTTATTGCATTTTCATAATCTACTTGAAGAGCTGAATTCAACGACCTAGCACACTTGGGCTCTAGCGGGAATGATTTCCGAGATATAGGGTGTGGAAAATCGAGATTTTTCATTTTTGGGAATTTTTTGTGTCAAAACTATTCATTATTGGTCAAAACGGCTTATATGTCCATGTCTTAACTTTTGATTTACTATTTACTCGTATTTAATTGAAACAAATACAGGGTGGTGTGGAATTCCGACTGAAACTGAGAATTCTACACCACCCTGTATTTGTTTGATTTAAATACGAGTGAATAGTAAATCAAAAGTTTACATATGGACATGTAAGCCATTTTGACCAATAATGTATAGTTTTGACACAAAAAATTCCCAAAAATGAAAAATCTCGATTTTCCACACCCTATATCTCGGAAATCATTCCCGCTAGACCCCAAGTGTGCTAGGTCATTGAATTCAGCTCTTCAAGGAGAATATGAAAATGCGATTAAATACATGGTGTTCCATTTGAAAAAATTGATGTTCGATTTTGTGAGCCTTCCTTGCGCCCCTCGTATAAAATATGGGCATTCCTGAAGATAGCACTCATGATGCGATATGATGTGGAATTATAATATTTTGAAAATTCCTATCGGTGCAGAAGATATTTAACTGTCCCACTGGTCTAGGGACACCCTGTACATATATTGAGAAATAAGTGAAGAAGACACTTTCTGATGGACATTAGGTATTGCCCTCAGGGGCCTCTATTTATGGTAGGAGTATGTACCGGGTGTACCACTAAGAAAGAATGTCGGCTGTATCTTGGAAACCATATGCCACACACGAGGCCACACAGGTTTTGAAAAAAAATATTCATGATAAAAATGGCCAAGAAATATCTCTGGAAATCATTTTCAAGTTTCCAGGACAGCCGCTAGAGGACATAATTGCATTGGCCAACTTAAAAAACGGGTTTTTATGAAAATTTGATGTATCAAGACATATCAGAAACACTCTTTCCATGTTCTCGAGTAGATTCCCAATCATTTCATCAAAAAAAAATGCGCTAGCTCTTTAAATAAAAGAGGGAGGGAAGGATGAATAGTACTCTGGAAAAACTCTTGCTACTACAGTTTGGTGTAACGGAATTAGGCGATCTTGGTCTCATTATGAAGGGTTTTTTCAGATTTTCCCGATAAATCACGAATCAAATCTATTTAAATCCCGTGGTGGCCGCTAGGTGGCATCGTTTGAAAAATCAGCCGATTTGCCATTTTTCTCGAGAATTTCAAATGGAACCATATATTTTTCCTGCTATGATATAAATCAAATGCCTCCTCATTCGGTATCGGCATTTTGACAAATGAGCAATCCACAGTGAAAACTTTCAATGGAACTTCAATTATATTTTGACGTTTCTTTCATTCAAAGCCAACTTGCCTTTTTTCATTCCTGGGCCTATACTCACAACTCACATTTTAATTCGCTATGTCATTACTAAGAGTCTCCTTCACTATTGTGAGATATAACAGCAGTTTGTGAAACCAAAATGAATGAATTATGGAAATCATAATTTTATAGATACAGGATATTTCTGATGACGATTATTGAAGTTAGATTCCTGTGGTGAATATTTTCATGATATTATTTCGAGTATTTCACCTGTTCCTTAAGAGGCATCAATTCGCGGTTTTCACCATTTTTCTTCTCGATTGCTCTACTTTCATATTGGAGTAGAATGCATATATAGTTCCATTTGAAATTTTTGAAAAAAATGGAAAATTGTCTGATTTTTCAAACGATGCCATCTAGCGGCCACCACAGGATTTAAATCGACTTGATTCGTGATTCATCTGAAAGAACCAAAAAAACCCTTCATAATGAGACCAAGATCGTTGAATTCCATTTCACAAAACTGTAGTAATAAGAGTTTCTTCAAAGTACTATTCATCCTTCCCTCCCTCTTTCATTTGAAGAGCTAGCGCATTATTTTTTGATCGAAATGATTGTAAATCAACTCAAGAACATGAGAAAAAGTGTTTTTGATATATCTTGATATATCAAATTTTCATAAAATCCCGTTTATTAAACTTGCCAATACAATTACGCCCTCTAGAGGTTGTCCTGGAAACTTGAAAATAATTAACAGAGATTTCTCTTGGCCACTTTTATCATTCATATTTTTTTTCGAAACCTGTGCCGCAAATAGTTTCCGAGATACAGCCGGCGTCCTTTCTTAGTGGTACACCCGGTACAGTTCCTCATGACTCACACTGTATATTTATATATTGTTAGAGATTAGAATATTAGGTTAAACACTACTTGGAAGCCTAGTATTCTTGCTAGTATATAATTGAGCAATGTTTATAAATCTTGTAAATGCCTTTACACATTATATTGTTTACTAGGCATGTTTCATTCTATTATCATGAATCATGATGCATAAGTTGCATTCTCAAATAATTGTTAAAAATGTTGTATTCACCATAGAAAATAAGCATATGCTACCTATCAGAGTTTCTGAAAGCTTCCACAGCCGTCTGTTTACTTTGTTTTCCTTGGTTTACATTTGTTTTTTGTTTGTGATTGTTGGTCAAACCTTCAAAACAAACCACTCAGAAGTGTTCAAGTTGTTGCCGTTAGGTGGGACGATGCATCATTTTCAATGGCGAATTTCCTGCAATAGTTATTTATTATACAAGGGAAAAAAATTGTAGATTTTAAGTCCAGGTTGTGTTGTCTCCAATGCATCACATTATATTTGAATCAGAAAATTATCAGCTTGAAATTTCAAGTTTTGAATAGGATGTGTTGCAGGCATCTGCATCATTCTTTTGAACTGATCAAATATCTGCCAGTCTGATCCTGTGATTTGATTTAAAAAATTGTGAACTTAGACAGTGTTATTGCCTTATTATTCCAGACTAGCACAACAAAAGCCATCAACAGTGTATTGAATATTCAAGTCACATATTCCTCAGAACATTTTCAGAAAAAAAAGTCTGCATCAACTTGTGCCCGAAAATGCTTCTTTTCAGAGACACAGGGTGTTGAAATTGAATTTTTGTGTTCTCTTTTTGAAAATATTTTGCAAAAAATGAGTTATTTGTTCGAAATTTGGCACCCGGTTTCTTTTTTGACGTGAGAAATCCTATTTTCATATTAATTTTCATGTATCATACGCTGTCATTATTTTATTCAAATTTCCCTACGATTTTGACAGTAAACTTTTGGTACTTTTCATGAAAAAACAAACCTTATTTCTACATCTTTTCCAAGTAAAAAAGGTACACTTCCTCAACAACGCTGAAGGTGATCGTTTTGGAGATAATTACAATTTTCTATGCTGCTAGGGTATTTTGAAAAGTTATGATATTTTTTTTCGAAATTCCGAAAGAGGGGGCCTGGGGGGTTAATTTTTGCCATATTGTGAGATATACATATTATTGAGTACCATCAGAGCAATACATTCATAGAAGAAAACTCCCATCCACGTGTATTTTGAAAAAGTTATGATTTTTTTTCGAAATTCCAAAAAAGGGGGCCTGTGGGGTTAATTTTTGCCCGATAAGATATTGTGAGATAAACATATTATTGAGTACCATCAGAGCAATACATTCATAGAAGAAAACTCCCATCCACGTGTATTTTGAAAAAGTTATGATTTGTTTTCAAAATTCCGAAAAAGGAGGCCTGTGGGGTAAATTCTTGCCCGACAAAATATTGTGAGATATACATATTGTTGAGTACCATCAGGGAAATACATTCATAGAAAAAAACTCCCATCCACGTGTATTTTGAAAAAGTTATGATTTTTTTTAGAAATCCGGAAAAAGGGGGCCTGTGAGGTTAATTCTTGCCCGACAAAATATTGTAAGATATACATATTATTGAGTTCTATCAGAGGAATACATTTATAGAAAGAAACTCCCATCCACGTGTATTTTGAAAAAGTTATGAATTTTTTTCGAATTTCCGAAAAAGGG